CCGCGACCGCCGCGCGCGTCCTCCGGAAACCGGAGCGCGACCCCCGTAGGTCGGCATCGACCACATCCAGGAGGAGTACGAGGGCGAGCAGCCGCGTGGACATTCAAACCATTGAACACTTCGAGAGCTCGACGAGAGGACGCGACGTCGCCGCTCGCTCGCGAGTTCGAGGCTCGGCCGCGACGTCGCCGCTCGCTCGCTCGTTTCGAAGTCGGGCCGCGACGCCGCCGCTCGCTCAGGCAAGAAGATCGAAAAGTCCAAGGCCTACAGCGAGGACCCGGCGGGGAACCGCACGGGCAACGGCGTCGGCGAGCAGATGCAGCAGGTCTTCGAGGACGTCTGCAACGACGGCGAGGCCTACATCTCGAAGCAGCAGGCGAAGCTCCGCAAGGCGTTGACGCAGGAGGGCATGGAGGACAAGCTCGCGAACATGCGCGGCGCCGTGACCATGGCCTACCCCATGGGCCTGCCCAAGTGGGACCCCGTCTACGCGGCCCTCGAGGACGGCGAGCACGGCCTCGACGGCACGCAGGCCGAGTCGGGCCTCCTCGAGCCGGGCACGGCGCAGCTCTGGTGCGCGGGCAAGGAGTTCGTGCGCGAGGAGACCGTGGGCGACCGCGTGGGCAAGAACGAGAAGACGAAGGTCGTCGTCAAGCTCCAGAAGCCGGGCCACGGCGCGCCCGCGCGCGAGCCCTGCGTGTCCGAGGAGGAGCGCAAGGCCATGATGGCCCACTACTTCAAGCGCCAGGAGGAGATGAAGGCCCTCGCCGAGGCCAACGACGACGACTACCTCCAGTCGGGCTGGGCCGACACGAAGGCGCTGAAGAACTCGCTCCAGGGCCTCAACATGAACTCCGTCCGCGCGCCGGGCATCCGGTAGGCGGCCCGCGCTCCGCGGCGCGGCCGGCTCCCGCGTACCTTCGCCGCCTTCGTCTTAACCGCCCCCTTCTTTCGACCATCGGGGGGTGGCGTCGGCGAGGAGGCGCTCGGCGACGGACGACGTCGCGCGACCAACGCTCGACCATCGCGCTTCGCGGCCCCGTGGCGACGAAATCGTCAGAGAGATGTTGGCGTGGACGCGGCGCGCGGCGCTGGGCCGCGCCGCACCCTCGCGCCTCCTCTTGAGACCATTCTCGACGGCCCCCGCGCGCGCGCCGGCGCCGCTCCCGCCGTCCGTCGTCGCGGCCCACGAGCGCGCGTCGGCGGCGGGCGAGCGCACCTACAAGGACCCGGAGACGGGCCTGACGGTGTTCACGGCCTTCGCGCACGCGCAGCGCGGCGTCTGCTGCGGCGCGCGGTGCCGCCACTGCTGCTACGGCCACGAGAACGTCGGCGCGCCGCGGCGCGCGCGGCGCGCGGCCGCGGCGGCGCCGCGCGCGCGGCCGCCGCGCGAGTCGCGCGTCTACACGCGGTCCGGCGACCGGGGCTCGGCGCGCCTCGTCGGCGAGCACGAGGCCATCCTGCCCAAGTTCTCCGCGGTCTTCGAGGCCGTCGGCGACGTCGACGAGCTCGGCGTGAAACTCGGCGTCGCCGCGTTCCACACGCCCGCCGCCGCGCCCGGCGCGCCGGACGTCAAGGCGCGCCTCCTGCGGACCCAGGCGCTCCTCCTCGACGCCGGCGCGGCGCTCACGGTGCTCGATGGCCAGAAGGGCACCTACGCGTCCGCCGCGCGCGACGCCTTCGACGACGACGAGATCGCCGACCTCGAGCGCGAGGTCGACGCGCTCGACGCGGCCCTGCCGCCCCTGCGCAACTTCGTCGTCGCCACGGGGCCGCTGGCGTGCCTCGCGCTCCACGACGCGCGCGTCGTCTGCCGCCGCGCGGAGCGCCACGTCTGGAAGCGCGTCGCCGAGCTCGACGCGGGCGAGCGGTCGCGCGTCGAGTCCGTCGCCAGGTTCCTCAACCGCCTCTCGGACTTCCTCTTCGTCGCCGCGCGCGGCGCCGCGGCCCAGGACGTCGTCTACGACGTCTCCGCGAACGTCCGCCGGAAGCGGCGCGAGAAGGGGCGCGGGGACGACGAGTAACCGCGGCCGTTTTTTTCCTTAGCTTCTGGATCTCGGCCGCGGGGAATCCCCCGCTCGAGGCGCGGCGCCGTCGACGTGGCCGTGCGGGCGCTCTCGGCACGACCTTCGAGGCGTTTTAGACGTACGATCGCCAAACTGTGGCAGGAGTCTGCCAGGACTTGTGCCGTAGGCCGGGGCGCCTTTGCTCTGGCACGACCATCGCGCGCGGCGGCAGACGGTCGCGAAGCGCCTCGTGGAGCGCCGCAACCTTACGCTTGCGAAGGACGGGCCCGGGTCCCTCTGTGGATTCGTGCCATAGCGAATCGCAGATCTGTAGTAATTTTGCCAGTTAGCCGCCCGCGGCATGGTGCCCTCCCACCCCCAGTAAAAAGACATTCGTGTCACTTCGGAGGAACGCCGCACCGCAACTCCCCAGGTGCTATTGCCAAAAGTTCGCCGCGTCGCCCGGCGCGCCGGCCGCGCCCGCGTCGCCGAGCGCGTCCTCGACGAGCGCGCGCAGCCGCTCGCCCGCGGCGACGCAGGCCGCGAGCGCGGCGACGAGCGCCGGCGGCGCGAGGACGAGCTGCGCCGCGGCGACGACGCCCGCGGCCGCCAG